CCTCTGACGGGAAGTCGGGTGTGGTACCTATTCGGACAGAGCACTCGCTCTTGAGCCTGTTAGCCTGCCCTGCCTGCCGTACGTCGGAGTGAAGCAGTTTCCCACGGCCAGGCAAGGTGCCCAGGTACCTCACCTACCTACCTAGGTACATACCCAGGTCCCGCCCACCTCACCGTAGCCCACAGCTCGCCAAAGGCTTCGCTCATTCCGTCAGACTCACCACTACACCGCGGGGCCTTCATGGACCTCCTCACCCGTCACCACTCACCACACGACACAGTTTCTTAGCGGGCAAGGTTGTCATCCGACAGGCGAGGCCATTGGAGCAATATGCATCCACTGGGCTGCTTAAACTTCCGTAAACCTGGTCTTGACTGGGACCAGACCTTGGGCCGTCTTCCAGGCCATCACGTCTGTCAGGGCGGTGCTGCCCAGGAGAGACTTGGAATTCAAAGTTTGATGCCATCCAATCCATCTCTCTTTGTCTGGCTTAAGCCCTGCAGTGCTCAACGCTCGCCTCTCTTTGGCCAACGCCTGCCACCAATGCAAAATTATCATTACTCAGGTTGTACAGAAAATATACAATCAGCATTCAGAGAGGGAGCACAGCCAGGTATCATGTCTTGTTGATTTGTTTGCCAGCTACATGGCCCTTGCAACCTTCACAACGGCGACTTTGCCAGAACCGACTCATTTTCAGCCCCTTCTCTTGCCCCTTCCTACGCTCAAGGACGCACCCCTGTTTCGAGATTTATTTTTCGTCTTCGGGGTGCGAGCGTCGTCTTTCTTGGCTTCGGGCTGCACCGAACTTTTCCAGAAGCTTTTCCCTGGCTCCAAAGTAACCTAGGTGATCCATCCATGCACTTTGCTCGACCTGAGTCAATCCGCACTTTCAGCTTTTGCTTGCAATTCACCTTGACTTCACTTGGTTATTCCTCATGTTTAGCCTGGCCAGAGACTTTCTCCTGCTACCTCCCGCACATAATCGTCTATTGCGTGGAGAAGCCGACGGAGACAACGGCTGAAACACGAAGGGTACTCCCGTCGAAACAACCCTCAGGGGATTTGCCCCAGGTCAACATCGGCTCATGTTGCCATCTCGGGCAAGGACGTAGTTCGTCGAATGATATTGAGAGGCCACCCTTACTGCCCTGAAAATAATAAATCAGGGCAAATTTTTTTTTTTCTTCTTCCGCTTCCGTTCGTGTTCTGTGGCTGATGAATGCAGGGCGGCGAGAAACATGGCCGTCTTTGTTGATGATATTTCTTTGGCCATTTTTCGGCGGCTTCTGATACTTGACCAAGAGATCATCGTGCTTCCCATCTCAACGCGGTCGATATAGCGAGGAGGATTGTGTTCAAGCAGGGCACAAAGATTACATCTGCCTTTTGTGCATTCAAAGAGGGCTGACTGTTCAAGAAAGAACATTGCTTTCAGGAGTGATGAAGCCCGTCATTAAGGAGATCGAGAACAATGAATAGGACTGAGTTGCTGGATTTATTGCCTATCCTTCTTAAGTTCGTGCTCGCGCCCAAAGCGAATATGCAAATCAGTATCACAACCAACATCTACACTCAAGTCTAACAGCCCGTCATTTTTGCCGTCAGAATATTCAAGAACTAGCGTCAGAACTCACTAGGTGCCCTCGTGCCATGTCTTCCTCGTACTCACAAGGAAGTAAGAATGCTTCAAAACCACCAAGGAACAATAGCGGCCAGCATATACCGCCCCTGGTTCCTTTGCCTCGGAGGCAGGATTTAAATATGGACGACCTGCGCGGTTTTGAGCCCGGACGCCTCGACCTCCAATGGATCACTCCATCTCAGAGACTAGACGACCAATTCTTCACGGAACACTATGCTTCTGTTGCCTCCAATATCAAGCATCTGGTCAAAAATCTCTTCAGGTGCGGAGATCTTCCTCCAGATGGTTCCGTCTGGGCTGCAACCCGCAAACATCATGGCGAAAAGTTCCATCTTGAGCGTATCGTCGGCATGGTCGCCCGGCCAGACCCAATGGACCCAACTCCGTGGGAGGACCTCATGACAAGCAAGGCTAAACGGTTCTGCGTGATGCGGGCAGTCATCATGCTAGTCCTTGAAGAGCAGGTGTTCTCGGAGCTTCTTTTCGGGGCGACCAAGAAACAGTCCGAGCAGCTTCATGCCCAGGACTCTGACTATTGTCACGATGGAGGTGAGCCAAGTTTGCGCACTATTGAACTGAACAGAATCGCTGATGAAGTCATCTGTAGGCATCCGACGCTCAAGGCTCAGATCAACACTTGTGGAGATGATGCTCGGCCACTCTCACGGCATGCCGCAATGTTTTTGGCCGAGTGTTGACAAGGTAGCCATGAGGCTGTTAACGCTCATCTTCCCGGTACTGACCTGGGTCAGACGAACATGGCCACCAGACCAGGACATGCCCGACATCAAAACGATCTACCAGGAGATACACAACTGTCTGGCGTATGCCTGTTGGTTCGCAGTGCACAAGCAGCGCGCTTCTTCCGTGCTCGAATTCACATGGCTTCACCCGGGCGACCAATACTGTCCTGACCAGATCGAACTGTGTCCAGCAGGGCTCCAACGCGCTCTTGCGGCCTCCGCAGACGCCTCCTCGGCCTTGGGATCAAATACTCAAAACGCATCGCCAGCTAGGATTGCGAGGGTAATGATATGCGTTGTCCCTCGTCTGGACATTATCAAGTCAGTCGAGTGCGACGGAGAGGCGGTTGGCCATACCATCACTACGCTTGCGGACACTCGCGTGGTCTACTATCTCGGGCTGATGGATCCGGACGCCGACGACGAGGTATTCAAATGGTCTCTGATGGAGTACTCCATGACTCTGCAACCGAAGACATCCCTTGCTAAACGTCTTCGCGCAGGCCCTCTTGCTTTCCGGCGTTTCCTCAATGAGTTAGTGATGCGCATTCTAGCAGCTTTATGGCTTTTGGGGATACTATTTGTGATTCATAAATTCGTTGCACGGGTTTGGCAGAAATACGACTTGATTACTTCTCAACAATTGACTGCTCTATGGCGGCAGTTTGGGATATCAGAAAAGAAAACAACAACAGCAACGATTTGATTTTTACGGTTTGTCAGATTGATGGCGTTTCGGTTGCTTGCTCGGAGCTAGCTGGGTTAGACTTCATTCATTCATTTGTTCCCATGCATCGAACATGCCACCGTTCCAAATCGTTCGCATTGCCTACCGTAGCACATTTACTAAGGTACATCTCAACTGTGATAGACAGCAATGGGATACACGTTACTCAACGCTCTAAAAGATTTTACACTCCGGCATTACCATTAGCTCTTATTGGAATAAGTTCTGCAGTATTGACCCCTGCTGTTTCAAGTGAGACGTAAAAACAAAACCACCTGAACTGCTTGAAGCCATCCATTATCTACATCTGTACAACTCCGGCGAGCTTTAGAGGGGAAGCAAAAGCAAAAGCAAAAGTTGCGCCGAGGGGGAATCGAACCCCCGGCTCCCCGACGCTGCCGGATGGCAACAGAGAATTTTACCACTAAACCATCGGCGCTGATGGTTGACTGTATCGTCAGGTAACAGGAGGCGAGCGACAAGTCATTTATGTTGCAGAGCGGTGGGCGAAGTTGTGGGCGTGATGGTGGGGGATAAGGGCTTCAGGGTTGGGTTGTGTTCCCTAGACAACTATCGGCAAACCTCGTCCAAGCGCTTGCGAATCCACCAGTTCCCCTCTCAAGCACAAGGGCCGCACAGATTTGAGATTCCCGTGGTCAGATTAGCCTATCAATGCGCATCAAATGGTTCTCGAAGCCCACTTTCAGCCAACGTCAACGGAATGTCTTGAGGGGAGTCGGGGAGCGCTGAACGTTCGTCTGAACAGCGAGGGCAACACAGGAGAGCCAATCGTTCAGCGGATATTGACAAGTATGGCAGGACCCTTTAAAAGACGCCTGAGGGGAACGAAAGGCCCCATGTTACCTAAGTCTACTATGGCTGCCACGTGCAGACGGATACGTAGGACATAGGCACATCACACAGGGCCGGGCAGCAAGAGAGAGGGGTCGCTGCGGGCGAGGTCCGACTGTCGGGATGCCCGACATGCGCATGACGGGCTTCAGGTTGCAGACTCGGGACAAAATAGGAGTTGAGACTGGTTTGCCGCTGGGAGGGAGGGCTCTCCTGTTGTGTTGCCACAGGAGGCCGGAAGTCCACTGCCAGGCATCTGGGTTGCTTGCTCAAGCCGAGTCAGGCGGTGAGAAAAGCAATGTCGGGGCCGAGAGTTGGGCGGCGGCAAGAGAGGGATCATGGCAAAATGAGAGGACGACTCGTAGGCAGTCGGATTGTCACGGTATCAGACGGAGACTCACCCGGAAGTCACTGCTGTAAGGTCCTGATAGAGGAGAGACTCTCTCGCGACCTGCCTGGGTACAGACATTTGACCGTTGCCGGGCAGTCACAGCAGTCACAGCACCAATGACCGTTTTAGCAAACGAGTATCTGGAGGTAACCTGGCCAATTCAAACGATGGCAATCCCAGCCACCACCTCATTGAATAGCCGCCGTGCGCATCCCTCTCCTACACATTGAAGTCCAATTCAATGGCAGCTGAGGGCGAAGCGAGGGGAAAGGAAGAAAAAACCAAGGTGGACAGGGGTACGATAAGATAAGCCCACCAAGCCAGGCGGGAAAAAGGGCAAAAATTCCTCGCCGCCCTCGAAATTTGTGGCATTGCGCTAGGCCGGTCTCACGCTAGAGGGGGGGTTGGTGGGGCCCCGGCCCAGAAAAAAAAAAGTCGAAATTTATTTTTTGCCGGCCTTGACAAAATCTCTGTTCGGTTGTGTTGAGTGCGAGAGAGAAATTCTTTTGAAAGGACCCCACGTCGCCCGCCCGCCCTCTTTCACATATCTTCCTCCTCCGCGCAATCCTCCAACCTTACCTTCCCTCCTCCACCCCTCACACAGGTCGACTTTGTCTTGTGCAATATCCCAAATTCTTCAAAATGGCGGACGAGGTCTACGATGGTGCCATTGGCATCGACTTGGGTAAGTTGCGCAACCCCTCCTCATCGTTATGATGCCCTTCTTGTCGGCCCTCTTTGCGGGGTGAAGAAACATCACCGATCATCGCCACCACAAACCACCACACATCAGCCAAAAAATCCCATCACCACTCAGCGCCCACGGGCAAACACCATCTACACATCGCAGAAACCAGAAAGGCTAACATTTTGTCTTCCTGATCAAAGGAACCACCTACTCCTGCGTTGCGACGTACGAGGGTACCAATGTCGAGATCATTGCCAACGAGCAGGGTTCTTTCACCACCCCTTCTTTCGTCTCCTTCACCGACAAGGAGCGTCTGATCGGTGAGGCTGCCAAGAACCAGGCTGCTATGAACCCCATCAACACCGTCTTCGATGTTAAGTGAGTAGCCGCGCCTGTATCTTTCGCTGCTCTGATGCCTCTCTCTGGGCCGACGGGAATTTTCCCCGCCCAAGGAGGGGTAAAACAAAAGAAGCCGAAAAAATTTCCATCACCAAACACTTTGCTGACTAGCCGTTCCTTCACAGGCGTCTTATCGGTCGCCGCTTCGATGACCCTACCGTCAAGAAGGACATGGAGTCCTGGCCCTTCAAGGTTGTTGACGACAACGGCAGCCCCAAGGTTTCCGTCGACTACCTCGGCGAGACCAAGACCTTCTCTCCCCAGGAGATCTCCTCCATGGTTCTCCTCAAGGTACGTTTCTTCTGCTGCTCGGCTTGTACGCCGGGCGCCAAGTTTGTGCGACGCAACATGTTAACACCCCAAACAGATGAAGGAGATCGCCGAGACCAAGATCGGCAAGAAGGTCGAGAAGGCCGTTATTACCGTCCCTGCCTACTTCAACGACAACCAGCGTCAGGCTACCAAGGACGCCGGTGCCATTGCTGGCCTGAACGTCCTCCGTATCATCAACGAGCCCACTGCTGCCGCCATTGCCTACGGTCTTGGTGCTGGCAAGTCCGGCAAGGAGCGCAACGTCCTCATCTACGACTTGGGTGGTGGTACTTTCGATGTCTCCCTCCTGAACATCCAGGGCGGTGTCTTCACCGTCAAGGCTACCGCTGGTGACACCCACTTGGGTGGCCAGGACTTCGACACCAACCTGCTCGAGCACTGCAAGAAGGACTTCCAGCGCAAGACCAAGAAGGACCTCTCCGGCGACGCCCGTGCCCTCCGTCGTCTCCGTACTGCTTGCGAGCGTGCCAAGCGTACCCTTTCTTCCGGTGCCCAGACCACCATCGAGATTGACTCTCTCTTCGATGGCGAGGACTTCACCACCCAGATCACCCGTGCTCGTTTCGAGGAGCTGAACGCCAAGGCCTTCAACGGCACCATTGAGCCTGTTGCCCAGGTTCTCAAGGATGCTGCCATTGAGAAGTCCGGCGTTGACGAGATCGTCCTCGTTGGTGGCTCTACCCGTATTCCCCGTATCCAGAAGCTTCTGTCCGAATTCTTCGACGGCAAGAAGCTCGAGAAGAGCATCAACCCCGACGAGGCCGTCGCCTACGGTGCCGCCGTCCAGGCTGGTATCCTCTCCGGCAAGGCCACCTCCGCCGAGACCGCCGACCTTCTCCTCCTCGACGTCGTTCCCCTGTCCCTTGGTGTCGCCATGGAGGGCAACATCTTCGCCCCCGTCGTTCCCCGCGGAAACACAGTTCCGACTATCAAAAAGATCAGTCGTCCCGTTCTCTATCGTCTCGAATCTGACTAACATCCACACACAGGACCTTCACCACTGTTGCCGACAACCAGCAGACCGTTCAGTTCCCCGTTTACCAGGGTGAGCGTGTCAACTGCGAGGACAACACCTCCCTGGGTGAATTCACCCTTGCTCCTATCCCTCCCATGAGGGCTGGTGAGGCCGTCCTTGAGGTCGTCTTCGAGGTCGACGTCAACGGTATCCTCAAGGTCACCGCCACTGAGAAGACCTCCGGCCGCAGCGCCAACATCACCATCTCCAACTCTGTTGGCAAGCTCTCTTCCCACGAGATTGAGAACATGATCAACGGTATGTTCAGCCTGCAACCACAGTGATCAATGACACTGCTAACGAGTATCATAGACGCCGAGAAGTTCAAGACCAACGACGAGGCCTTCAGCAAGCGCTTCGAGGCCAAGCAGCAGCTTGAGTCTTACATTGGCCGTGTTGAGGAGATCATCTCCGACCCCACTCTGTCCCTCAAGCTCAAGCGTGGCCAGAAGGACAAGATCGAGCAGCAGGTCTCCGAGGCCATGGCTGCCCTTGAGATCACCGACTCCGCCGCCGAGGACCTCAAGAAGCAGGAGCTCGCTCTCAAGCGTCTCGTGACCAAGGCCATGTCTTCCCGCTAAAGGGTTTTAAATGAAAACTAAAAATGGCCTTCGGGCCTGGCGAAGGGTTGCTTATCTGGTTCAACTTTCTTGCGTTTGGGTGGCCCAACAGAATCAGGCCAGGATGCGAATAATTTGGGTCAGGTGATATCAAAAGGCACTTAAAAGTTCCTCTTTCTTCCAGCCGCCTTCCTCCCTCTTATACCTCCACACCATCTCTCACACACTCACGACACATGGCATGCCTCTCGGGAGAGAGGGAATGCTTTCCGGGTGCCGTCTTCTACGGCTTTCATAGACACTGTAGAAAGGATCAGGGCGACATGAAATGAAATTACGTCTACGTTACTTCTAAGTCTTCATTTTCGCGTGGTATGTTTTTGAGAGTGATGTCGTTACTGTTGGTCTTACCGTCGTCGTCGTCGTCGTCGTCAACGTCGTTCCCGCTCTCGGGTGGCTCTGATGTGCACTTCATGCCCTGGGGTGGAGACGAAGCATGAAGCCCAAAGACGGAGGACAGAGCCCAGAGAGGATTAAGGACGGAGACAGAGGGGGGAGACAGAGGGGGGAGCCCAGGGATAGACATGGAGGACGGAAACAGGAATGATGACGAAGACGGAATTATGGCCATACCGGTCCCAGTGTCTCATAGAAGGAGTCTATTCTTCATTTCTTCGGTGTTCCAGTATTCGTGCCAAAGAACAAGTAACTATCACGTGGGTTGTTCACACTTATCTTGTCTCTGAGGGCGCATAGTAAACTATCTTCATGATAGAGACGAATTCAATTGCATTGGCGTGGCAGTGACCAGCAAGTCTTGCTTAGCTCGCTGTTCTCAAATCTGCGAAACAGAGAAGATTATGCGGTATCGTTTCCAGGTTGCGTGGTTTCCAGATTCATGGCCGGGCCTTGATTGACTTGGAACCCTGAAATCAATTCGGAAACTACAGCATCAGAGTCGGGGATTGTTCTCGCCGACATTGTTCTTAGCTAAACTCGTGCTTAATTACGTTTCTGAACACCAACCAAGCGGTCAAAAGAGACATCCCCTGGCTCAGAGCCGACCTGAACCTGATCATTTCAAGTGAAACATCTTCAAAAAGTCGCAGAGCATCCTCTCAGCGGTCCAAATACTCAAAAATCAAAACAATTGATCTGGCCCGGACTTGAACCGGAGACCTTTAGTGTGTGAGACTAACGTGATGACCAACTACACCACCAGACCATTTAAATCATTGTGGAGATCGCGAGGACAAGATTGCCTTGAGGGAGGGGCAAGGCGCATGGGATCGTGGTCGTCAGAGCTCAAGCGTGGGTCGCGGAGTGCTGGCCCGCTTGGTGGACCGAAGCCGGGCCGGAGTCCGGAATCCGCAGGTTTACCGGACATCTTGGCGACCGCTTTGGTACGGCGTGCAAGACTAATTTTGCCAGCCAATTTGTGTCTTGTGCGCCTTGAAAAGTTTTTGGTTACATGGACGAAGTTAGTTGCCAGCAGTGGGAAAAGGTAGGCGGGGAGATACTTTGCTGCGTTTATTATATATACGGCAACATGTCCTATTTCTAATAGTGGCTTAGTAGTCGAGTCTCGACATGAATAGCTTTGAGACCGCTTACTACGGGCCCGAAGTTGTATTTGCGTTCTCTTATAAGTAGACCTATAAGGAGAGCAAGTTTCACTAGCGACATGGGCTTCACCGTGACATGTCTAAGAGTTTGCGAACCTTGGGACATCTTCATCTTGGTATGCAGTCATACAATAAGCTGACTGTTAGTTTTCGAATCGGTGCTTGATTGCAACCCAAAAGTCTCCGAACGGGTTTGTTGCAGTCGTTCGCTACTCAAGAAAGACTAATGCTAGAAGGTGTTGCTAGGTTTATTTCTGAGTAACGGTCTCCAATGAGAGCAAGGCAGCTAGCTAGAATGAATTGTTAATATTGGTACTCTCAAAATTTGCCAACCCAGAAAAGTGACATCATTAGGATAGGTAGTCTTAGAGATGAAGTTGAAATAAAACTAACAAGGGGAAGGGGCCAGCGCGGAGTAGACTTGCCACTGTGGGGCTCACAGACGTCAATTAGGTAACCCCCCTCCCCCACCCCCCTCCATTCTAGCCGTCACTCCTCCATTTTCATTGTCTCTCGACCAACCGATCGCCGGCTCATCACGCCTGAACAGCGGAGAGCTACCAGGAGCAGCCTCTCATCTAACACGACGGTCCATCATACTCCACGCCTAGAACGGGCTGATCCGGCACATGCCCGTCAACCTCCACTGCGATGGCTATCCGCGTTTTTGACAAGTTCTTCGACCTCCCCCAGGAGATCCGTGATCAAATCATCTCGTACCTTTGCCTCCTCCCGTATCCGATCCAGGTAGGACCGACAGTCGACACAGAGATACCCTTCCCGCACGACCTGCTGCTTTCCCACCCACTTCTTTACGCCGCCGGCTCCGCCATCTTCTACGAACAGAATCGTTTCATCCTCAACCTCCGCGGCCGGCCCCGCGCCGCTCTCGAGCGCGCGATATGTGACGGCACGCCGTGGCTTCTGGGAAACACTAGAGCCCGACGCCGCGTCAAGTTCCTGGAGCTCTTGCCCGGCCGCCTGGGAAATGCATTCCAGAGCCACATATCCCCGGCCGTGGCGGATATGATTCTCAACGGCTCGCTGCGCCACCTCAAGCTCGTGCTGTATCCGACGAGCACCGACAAGGTGGTCTTCAACCATGATGCCGTCGATGCCCAAGGGCGGCGGGCGGCGATGACGAGGCGAGACGATGCCTTTACCCAGTCGAAGCCCTTCAAGGCCTTGCTGCGGTTACTTGCCGACCCGGATCTGGAGACGGCGGAACTCTTTGTCGACCCTATCCATCGCGACTTCTGGTGCGATTTTCATGAGGGAGTGGCGTGCTGTAAGGGCCATCCCAAGGGGCCATGGCAACTGATTCCTGTAGACTGGAAAAAGCTTGCTGCAAGCTACGGTCAGGATCATGAGCTGAGCATTGTCAGGGTAACCTCGTGATGTCAGTTACACAATCAAGGCCGTCTTGTTATGACATAGTATCCACCTGATTCGGTGCTTAGCTGCAGAGGCGTGTATGTGTCTTTGGGGGTGGTCAAACGCCATAAGAGACCACGGATTTCCAGGATGACGACACGGAGAGCAGACTCACGATCGATATACGGGTTAGAAGGTTCACCTGATTTTACCTGGGTAGATATGTGGCTTAGTCTTGTGGTTTAGTTCTCGTTTTAGACTACTACAAGACTTTCACGAATGCTCCATGCCCAGCTTCGGCCACCTTCAGGACATAGTTGAAGCTCGGTAGCGGGTTTTTACTTACTGAAGAAGGTCAGTGGTGTCACCACTGTGGCTCCTGACTTCTCAGTCCAACCCTGTGTTATTCATGGGGAAGAACATATGTGGAGTGCCGCAAAAGTCTTAGTGAACTCCAATGGCAGTTTATGAAACTTAACTTTCCAAAAGATTGATAAAAAAACCCCTCCTATTCGCAACGTTTTTACATCGACTCAACTTCACTCTATTCCCGCAGCTTTCAATTCCTACAGCTCTAATCGAACATCTACAAACTGGAAACGTCGGCTACATCCGCATTTTGCTCAAGTTCAACTTGTCGCCATGGACTCAACAAGCAGTTCCCGACTTCCGCCCGAATTGTGGCATGTCGTCTTCAAAACGTTGGTTCAGCAGTACGCTCACCAACCTCAGCAGCCCGATCGCTATCTCCTTAAGTATGCGTGTGTCAACCGAGATTGGCAGGCCTTTTTCGAGAAGGAACATTTCCAAAAGCTCACGGTGAGCCCGAAACGCATGCATCAGCAACTCGGGAACATGGTCCCGCGGCAAAGACGGCTTGTCCGCCACGTCTGGTTTCAAATCGAGATGGCGACTTACCCTTGCGATTGCTGTCATAAGCCTCGTGGCGACAACTTCAATCACCGGGAAAGATACTGGGAAAGATGTTACAAAGATACTGAAAATTGCTCAACAAGCTTTGCATGGGATTTTCTCGATCCTGAAAAACTGGTCGCGTGGCACCGATAATGACGGACTGACTCTTGAGATCGGCCTTCACTCCCCGAGTGATTTTCATTACCGCTTTCAGCACTATGGGATTGATTCATCATTTACTCAAGCTCCGGAACACTCGTCAATCGGATACCAAGTACCATCAAAAAATCCGATGTCTGGATGTGTCAGTTGTTGTCGGACAGCGATTTCTTCACTGTGGTCGGACATGATGTTGTACGGCCTCGTCTTCATGGAGGAAAGCTTTCCCACAGTAGACGTGGTGCACCGTCTTCTCGTTCGCAGACAGACTCGCCGAATTCTGTCCGTAACATTGTGGGAGAATATGGTCAAGGCACTCCCAAATCTTGAATGTTTACACCAGGAGCTCTGGAGGGTGCGGGTAAACCTTAATCATCTACAATTCAGGTCAGGTAAGCCTACTACACCACTTTCCTTCGCCCCATTCTCTCTTCCTTTCTTTTTTTGCCATTTCTTGCGGTGTTCCCGAGCTAAAAGTGAGGCAGTGGTTTCTAGGGTACTCTCCGCACTATGTAATTCTAGTGAGCTTAAGAAGCTGGTGGCATTCGGAGAAATCAAGCCGTCACTCGCACCTGGACCTTACGAAGCGCTTTCCGAAGAGCTGAAATCCGAAGAGCTGATTCACCGTCTCGCTATGAGCACCTGTAAATTGGAGCAGCTGTGCTTGTCCTACGTTGTGGACGCCTTCAAATTCTTAATCATCGCTGAAGGCCAGCCTGCCTTGCACTGGCTGAAGCTTGAAACCATAGCACTTACATCGCCAAGTTTCCACATCGGAAATGAAGCGGGCATAATACAGATGCTTGAGACAACTGCAAAACTCGCACGTAAGATGCCGGAAGTGCGAACTTTGGAGCTTTGGAATGCAGAAAAGAGCCATGCTTTCGCCTTCACCTGCCGCATCACCCCCTCCGCGGTTGAAATCTTATATAGGGCAACTTGGGAGTTCAAGCTCGCGGGCTCCGTTGAGAAACTGTGGGAAGACTTTGCCCAGGAACGGAATCAAGGACACAAAGTCAGTGTCCAAAGGGGCCAGTTGATCAACGCCAGCGAATTGAAGTCTCATAGGGACGCCATACACGGTCTAAATTTGACGGCGGAGGTGGTACATCCCGTGTCGTTGATGCAAATCCGTCGAGGGGAAATCATTTCTGCAACTGAGATGCCACCTATGGAGCAGCAGTAAAACGTTCAAAATTATCTCAAAATCCCGTGGATTCTACTCAAGGTGTTTAAGTTGGAAGTAAATTTGACAAAGTTTACAAATCGGGTTTCATTAGCTCCATACTTCAATTCCAGTTGTTGTTGCTAAGGATAGGTTTCAGCGTCGCATGTATTATGTCGTGTGTGCTCGCCTATTATTGCTGCTCGCCTAACTGGAAGTCAATCCTCAGGCTTGCGTAAGAGTAGAGAATACGATTGCCAAAAAGGTTCAGCCGAAACATATTTGAAAGATAGCAGCCAGGCTATCAGCCAAATTTTGAATCCGGTCACCTTGAAGGCATGAGATCAAGCGAGTTCAGACACCGAATACCCGAGGCAAACGGTCCAAAACTAACCAAATCCCTTAACGAAACCCACCTCAAAAGCTTCGAGCTTCTTTGTTGGAGCATCCCAAGTAACATGAGGCCCATTGCGGGAAATGTCCCGGCCCCCGGCGCGCCGCTAGACCCGCAAGCGCCGGGTGGGGCCGCGAGGAGCCCCGTAGTCAGTTTGACGGAGTCTTGGCGAGGCCCCCAAACCAAGCGACACTCCCCCTTCCGGTTCCCTCTCCTATTTCATCTAAGAATGGCACCGAAACACGACGGTCGAGCCTCACGCCGAGTCCGGATGCTACCCTCCGTCCCCCGGGAAGATCTTTTCATAGAAACAAACACGCAAGGGCCCCTTACAGCACCATCGCATAGGCCAGCACAATCGCAAACCGCCAAGATTGATAGATTGCTTCACATCGAGAAAGAGGAACCAGAAACCCCCACGGCCTCTATTTACGTGCGCAGATGGGGGTGACTCTCAGACTTCAAACGTCGAACAGCTAGCTGATCCCGCGCAGCTTGGCGCGAAACTCGCACGAATCGGCTGTGCTACCGACCTTGCTCGCCTCAGTTTATCTTAAGCCTCAGTTTATCTTAAGCACAAAACCGAACAGACTGTGAGATCTGTGTCTCGCTGACATGGGGGCCAGGAAGCCATTTCTTCGAACGAACTTCGGGACAGACTTCCGCGGCAGCGGTAGCGGTCGCGAAACTTGGGACGACAAGCCGCGGCGGTCTGTCCGTCCAATCTTGGCGCGTGTCGGAGGGCAGAGGGCCTCGGGGCCGGCCCGCCGCCCGAGTCTGGCTTGGCTTTGGCTCGCGTTCAGCCATTCTGCCTGCACCGCCGTGGTGGTGGTTTGGCATCGGATCAACAAAGCATACCCCAGGGCCATCCCTTGGACACCGTCGAACACATGCCAGCCACCAAACCGTCCCCCTTTTCCCTTTTCGTGGTGACGTCAACCCGGGCTGTGGGTGCGTATCATCGTCGGGATTTACAGGGCGAATGGCTGTGTTCTGTTTGCTCTGTCCAAGGTTCTGTCGCTCATCTCACGTTCCGGCAGATGCAGGGAAACTCTGTCAGAGACGGGCGCGGGTGCCGATACTGTATGCCAGATTCCGACGCCGATCCGCCAACGCGACAAGCCGCTCAACGGCCGGAGATAGATGACTTGTACATCGCTGGGTCGCGTCTTGCCTGCAGTTCAGGTGCGCCAGACAACTGATAGAGACCCGGCCTGACTCGTCGCGTCTGCACGAGACCTGCTGTCGAGCGCAGCAAACGTAAGAGCCCTGCAAAGCAGAGTTGCCTTGAGGGGTTCCCCCGTATCGACTTTGGCGACTTAACTCCAGCGAGTGCGAATAAACTCCGAACCTGCAGTTAACTTCCCGAGACGCAGGACAATATCGGCTCAAAGGGCGAACCATCAACATCCGCGTCACTACTACATTCCATTCACGACCGTTGATCATCTCTTGGTAGGCGACGATGCTTTTCGCTAGATAGAGAGAGCCAAGAGGGCCAAGAGCGATAACTCAACGCTCTAGTGGGAAAAGGAAATTCGAAGAAACTCGTCAGACCTCTCCAGCTGGCACCAGGAGTCGCGCTCAGCCTCGGCATAGCGAAACCAACCCAAAGCCCCCCCGGCGCCCCGCGCCTATCGTGATATTGTCTGTCTCTTGTCATGTCTCTACTACCCCACGTGTCTCAAGAACCCCCTCGTCAATCAACCACCCGCTTGTCTCTCTGTCTCTCTCCCCGCCCTTCTCATCTCCCTCCTAAACTCTCTCTTTCTCTGTTTCTCAATGTGCCTCGAGCGACGTCAACCAACTGCCACATAACAAACAGTAAATGGGTAATTAGCAAGCAACGCGCAATCCTGATTCCATAAAAATGTCAAACATGGCGGTCTCCAATCCGGCACCGACACCCCACACCATTCAGCCCCCTGCCCATCCTCCGTCAGTCAATCAATCAACCCAAAGCCAACACGCCAACTGTCTGGTTTGAAATGAGTCGTAGAGAGAGACAGAGAGCAAGAGAGATGGAAAAGGAGGGGTGGCGAGGACTGGAACCAGCGCATTCCACCACCCCCTCTTCGACACTTGCGCAACCTGACCTTCTCTTGCCAACCGCCCATCCGGGTCACACATTCTCTCTCTGTCTCTTCGCATTCTTTGCACCCTTCCCTGATCAGCGGGGTCAGATGTCAGATCATTGCATGAAGAGATCCACATGTGAAGCTTGGTTTTCTGTCTTCATACCGCCGTATTTCTTGTGTAGATTTGCGCGCGCTGGCACTCTGTCTGGGGCCAGCAGCCATTCACTGGCTCCCCGCTTGCCCCAGGGTTGTTAATCTATCTCATCGTCTATCTCTCTCCTGTCCCCCACAGGCTCGCTTGACACATGTGATTCCTCCTTCCCTTGATCCGCGTAACCCGACAATGTACTGCGTAGAGCCATCAAACCTCCAATAGCGGTATACCCGAAGCAGCAAACCTGTCTGCCCACCACCCACATCCTGCATGGCGACTTTTTCCTTCTCCCACTTCTTCAACTGGCGAATCGCCAATTGCGGATTAGTCTACGCAAAACCACCAGACTAGCGTAGCCGTTGTTATCAAATCAGACAGAATATGCAGGCAGCAAGTTAGTGCACCATGCAAAAGAAAACGAGACGGAGGTTTGGCCGTTCAACTCCTGTGGTATTTTTTTCCTAGTTTCTGTGTGAAAAGATACTTCTTTTTGCCTGGTTTCTGTGCATAAATTTTATTCCCATCCCGTTCCGTCCCAGACTCTATAAACGAATGGGCTTCGGTTTTGTCCTGTATCTCACGTGGACACAATTTGCCTGGTCCTCGCTATCCGTGCAAATGCATTCTGCTTCCCGAGAAAAGAAAAAGAGTCGTTAAAAAAAACCCAGAGATCCTGCGCCATGTCCTTGGGAGTGGTCTTCCCATTCTAACTCGCTTGCTGATAATGATCAAAAAAACCATCAGGGTTTCCTGCACCTAGCGACGAAATCTTGTCTTGCTGCCGCTCCAAACTTTGACACGAACCCTTCTCGCATTTAGATGCGGGCAGGTCAGAAGATCATCGCCCAAATTTAGGACAGGAGGGCGGGGTGCCAGTCCTCCTTGTGCTCATCGGGGTGCTCGCCGTAGTGGACGGGGCCGAGCTTGAGGAAGCGCAGGCCGTTGCTGCCGGCGCTGCTGACGCTGGAGGTGCGGCGCTTGATGGGAGCGGGCGCGGGCGAGGCGACGGCCGTGGGTTGTTGTTGGACCTTGAATGGGTAGGAGGAGGAGGTGGTGGGGGCGAGAGAGAGGAAGACGGAGTTGTCGACGGGAGAAGACATTTTGACGATGGTGTTTGGTGTTTGGTTGTTGTTGTTTGGATTAAGGACGGTGTGGGATGGAGGAAACAGGTCAACTGCTTTTTTTGTTCGAGACGGATGGTAGAGATTGAGCTTTGGACTTGACTGAGAGGAGCGGCCAGCGGATAATGAAGGTTGAGAGCGTTGGAGAATGAAATAACGTGCGTCGAAGAGAGGGGACGCTTGTTCATCTTTATATGTTGGACATACCGGGGTCAGCGGAGGGCAGACCTGGCGCCCCTCCCCCTCCTCGTCCATATCTCTCCTGGTGGAGGGACGGATGGTTTGAGTCTTGGTAAGACGACGGAGAGTGAGGTGACTTGTTGCCGGCCGCCCATGTCCGCTTCCAACCGGGTAGCAACCGGTTGCCAAAGACGCCGGGGTGCGTTTACGGCTGCCGCGTACATACTTGCCAATTTCTATCACTCTCTTCTTTCCCAAAATTTGAATGGCGCGCCTGTCGCACCGAGGGCGCACCTCTCTGGCGCCCAGCCACTTGCGCCGGACACATTGTTTTACGCAGACCGTATGGGGTTTGGGGTGGCAAGCCAAACCGGGCAGGCCCAGGCAGGATAGGGAAGCATGTCGGATGGATGGGACAGGATCAGATGGGATGGGTATGGGATGCCGGGATTGCTGTGTTGGCTTTGCGTCCTCCCCCACGGCACGGACACACAAGAAGGCATGCGCGAGGAAAGGCAATGATGTGCGTGGTAGCTCTGCCGTTGTGTTGCGGTGCCTTGTCTTGGCCTCTGGGTAACTCTCTCAGCCAGCCGGGGTACGCTGTGATGCAAAACAAGCCACGGCCAAGAGATCTAAATTTTGATCTCTCTCTACCGGGGCTGGGCTTCATCTCGCCCAGTTGTTTCGCACGGCTGGGTACCGAGGCGTTTCATTCGAGGGAAATGCAGCTTCGCTCGTACAGGAAGGCGGCGATAACAAGTCAAGACTCAAAACTTGCCAAGGCGCAAGAAAATCGAGAAATATTTAGAACACGCAGGATGAAAAGGGTCCCTCTGGGGAAAATAGATCTGCGGCCCACCGTCGTGGGCGCTTCTGAAACCACTTATCAAAAGCGCTCACCGTCAAGTGTCAAAAATGACCGGGCTTTGCGACGACGTCGTTATTTTTGCTCTGTGCTTTTTGGGACCTAGACCAGTCTATTGAAAGATCGTCTTGACATGTGCACGTGGGCCCGCAATTGGCTGAGCCCATGTCGGGCGACAACGACGACGGCGGACGAGACGGGAGAAGAAGAGAAGAGAAGCGGTGGAATG